CGATTCCAATGTCATGGAAATCAGTAATCTTCTGCATTTTTAGAGTACACCACAACTGTGAGACTCTGGCACCATTATAATTTTCTGCACACATCTCGTTCCAGCTTGCATGCTGTCATCAACTCACTCTTCTAAGGAACGGTTACGCTCGATTCCAATGTCATGGAAATCAGTAATCTTCTGCATTTTTAGAGTACACCACAACTGTGAGACTCCTGGCACCATTTATACGCATTGCTAATATTTCCGCTTTATCACCCTCCCTTACGCAATTTGTAATGCTGGCCGTAAGCCCAGCAGTCCAATGTCATGAGGCCTCTGTGGAGCTTTTATGTTACAGTTCAAACGACGTCAACTTCGCTGCTTCGCCAGAACCGTTGTTCTTGTTCAGCACTTTCGCAGTTCGCGGTTTTATTGTCATGTGTCAGCTACGATTTCTCACGTTTCGCTCACCGTTTTGATTTTACCCACCACCTTCAAATTCTAACGTGTACACCAGATAATGTCCACTGTTTAGGATACTGTCACTTTACTGCACAACTCGTCCCACCTACAAGGCCCGCCAGTCGTGCTGTCATTCTGACCAAAACACAATGATCATGCCTGACATTATGCCACGCACCAGTTAGGAACAAACATTATCATCATATATATACGTATTCTGTAGTGACTTCCACAAATTCCCCTTATTTAAACTCTTCTTACGGTTTTTAGATAGAAAGCTGGAATATTTGGTTCGGCATATCGAAATGTAGGCCTAAGAATAAAAATTGATACACTCTTAGAAAGCGCTATGCCCAGCAGCCGGAATTAGATCCGGAGCTTCCAATTTCACCCACAATCGTTAGCGTTCTTAGGTGGAACATGCTTTGGAGTTATTGGATTACTAGAGTGAATTGATTACAATATTGCCATTTCTGGTGCATTCTTTCGTGGAACCTAGGGTTACAGCTGTTTTCATAAGCACAGATGAAAAATTAGCTAGGATAGACTTAAGTTAGCTGCGCTTAATACAAGAAGAAATTTGGGAAGACATTACCGACAGAATTATGATTCCAACCCGTGCACACTTATTGATGCATTGAGACATCAAGTTAGGAGAGGTGATTGGTTAATACGTAAGCTAAGCGGCTGAGTCTGTTGCGTGATCAGTTTACTTGCAGGATCATATCAATAATGACCGGTTGAGACATCTATTGCAAGAACATTCAAAACTGCGGCCCAGTTGGATAGTTTTATGGTTGATCCACTTAAACGTAGCAGCGTATCATCCTTGGATAGAACCTAAATTACAAGAGGTGTACTTATTGCATACAATTTATTATTTTCAGCATTTTGGCATGCCCCTTTTTGATTTATGTCACCGTCCATCCTGGTCCTAAATACAAGTAACTGACGATTCGACAGTGATTTGTCCACATAACCTCGCCAATAAAAAGTGAGTGTTCTGAACAATGAAAGAGAATCGACGATTCGACAGTGATTTGTCCATATAACCTCGCCAACAAAAAGTGAGTGTTCTGAATTACAAAACATTTGTGGTGATACCTCTCGTCATAACTGGTTTTAGTTTCCGTCGATAAATGGCATGCAAGCCAACCATTTGTTGACAGACAGCAAGCGGATACATGTAAGTAGATCGGCAACCCAAAATACAGACTTCTTTGACTCCGGATAATGCGATCTGGGCTTTGCTAATAACAGAAACCTGCGTTGATACATGTTTTGTCTTATCAGTAATCACCTCAACCCTAGTTTATGATGGCGGCATTATCAGTGCATCATTCGCAGAAAGCGGATCAACGATACTGATTGCTTTTATTCCAGGGAACTTTGTCTATTCCTTATTTTTATTCGATCAAATGAATTAACCGTTCTCCACAAAGTTCTGCGTGAGAACGAATTGGTGTACCATTCAGTTGAACATTACAACGAAAGAGGGTTAGTTACTAGTACATGCAGTACACAGTGACCGCCATTTTGGTTGGTTTATATGAGCAATGGTGATGAGCAACCTTGCTTTCTTGGCCTCCGTTCGTATGCCTCCTTCTGTTTTCCGTCCACAGAGTTTTCTCGAAACTTTACACCAGAAGTAGCACTGCCTCCTTCGACTTCCGTAGCGTGCATGCTGTGTATTCAGCGACCACACCGGGATGGCTGCTACGTAGCAGTAGTAATAAAAATGTATATTTCCGACTTGTGGGTGGAATACCGTCTGGCATGCTCTAAATATTTGCACACAGGTCATATAGCTAGCACGTTATACAATCACACGCGACGGAAGGTCCCAAGTACACGACCGATTCTATATGCTCACCAGCCGCATGCACCCCAGTAATAGTACTGGTCGGTTCACGTGGGCCATATACAGCGGGGACGGTTTTCTTTGAAGACCAGGCCAGTGTAATATAAAGAAGCTGGTGTTGTGTTTGATTAAAATGTGACCATTGGTGAATTACAACCTTGCCTACTGGACCTCAGCTCATAAACTTTCTCCCTGTTTTCCGTTCAGAGAGATTACCAAGACATAGACCTTAGCTCTGGTGTTTTCAGTGCGCGAGAGCCGCATGTAGAAAAACAGTCAACGCATTTGGTGAAAGATTAGGAGGACCCACAAGGTAAATACTTTGGTAGCCCACTTTTGATGGTCGCCGTTGTTTCACAATCTTTGCAAGGCAATTCACTATACCAGGCTTCGACGAATTGAAAATAGGCGCAGTGTAAGACAATCTTGCTTTTCACAGGTGGCACGCTTGGAGTAAAGCAAATGAAAAACCCAGTCAGTGTCTGCAGGTGTTTTCTTACCATTATTACGCCACGGTGCTCAAGCACACACCGCGAATAATATGCGCGAGTACAACTCCGTAATGTGTGAACGTATGTGTTGTCAATCGCTGATGGATGTTACCCTCTTTTGGCCTGGAAGCGTTATATTGCCTGACCAATCACTGCCTGAGAAATTGAGCAGTTACGCTGTTTCTTGATACCTACGCAAGCTTGTCCTTAACATAAGGCAAGGATGCCTCGGTTGCCATGACGCTTGGGTTGCAAGGACGTGTAAAATCAGTGGTTGGGAAGTAGTTTTTTCTCAAGAGCAGAATATGCATGCAACAGTCGCATCTGGAGAATAGAAACAACGGAGAACTGTTAGTAGTGGCCGGCAGAATAATAGTGACCAAAGCCCGTTGGCACTTTTTGCGTGACAGACATGCTCTTTTCCACTGCCGCACCACCGTGGGGGTGGAATGGATTTTAAGTCTAAAAAACTACCCACAAATTCAAGGAAACATGACAGTTTAACACTCTTTTAGGGTGTCTTATTGTGATTTCACTTAGCTAGCAGGATTTTGCAATTGGCGACTATCATATGCCGCAGGCAATAAACACATCTGTTACACTGACACGGTGGTGGCCTGCACAGTTCTCCATGCTTCGCGGATAAACCACGAAGCCGCACCCAAGTGAACAGCAGAACATTCGAAATATAAATATCACAAAAGTACTATCACGAGTCTGATTTGCAGAAAGCCCCTCGGATATCCTACGGATCACAAACGGGTTTGGCTAAGCGGCGCGGTACACCACGCAGGGCGAAAATATCATCACCTGTCAAATCAATACCATGGTTTCCGGATACTTTTACGGAATTACATGGACGACTTAAAGCGGCCCAACAAACAAAAACCACCTGTTACTGTTTTAAATTTAGACATCGGTTGCCGACGTACATTTGCCAGTCAGACTTCTGAAGAACGTTGCACGTTAAGACTATTGTAAGACGAATGTTCAGGTGGAACGTCCGCGTGGAGGACCGGCTGTCGAGGTTAGCGCACCCGAACAAAAGTGCATCGGGCGAGTACGCAGCAGAGTATCAACATACCGACAACCACGTTCATTAATGTTCCAGTGTGAAAGTGCGTTTACACATTTGTCGATCAAGAACACCTATCAGAAGGATTGCGTAAGCGCTTCGCCGGACTTCAGTTCATATTTTTACACCAAAATAACCATGTTTGGCATATAACATGAGTAGGTTCCTCAACGAAATCCTCACAGTTTTGACTCAAATCCGATGAAGAACTTGCACACACGATAGGGCAGGTAATCTGGCACCCGTCTTATTATATTATGTTCGTCCAAAGATGAGTTCTGTTCACATACAGGGCATTAAATTACAACAAATCTCACTTGACAACGCTACAGACTATTGTGTACTCGGCTTCCACGAAGTGGGTGACATGTTTACCGTGGTTGAGGATTCACCGGTCGCGTTCAGCACTACTTCGTAGAGACCTCGATGTAAAAGGAAGCAGCGACGAATGAAGATTTGTAGCTTCTCACAGACTTTTATACCATCCTGACTTGGCCGGTCCAGAACGCAAGTCGCTGACCCTGGTCACTTTCGCTTGGGAGCCCTGCCGGCCCTTTGTGCCTGTCAGGTGATATTAGTTGAGCTGCTCAACTGTTTGGCTTTGGCTTGTGAGCAAATTGAACGTCAATAAATCAGCATTTCAAGGGACAAGCATGCACATGCACTTTCAAATTGCGTTTGTGCACTATTCAAACGAAGAACAAGTTCAGTGCCTAAAGGATTGTTGAGGCAAGTAAAAAAATGGTCCAAACAATTTGGTTCATTTATTACAGGAGAGCTCCGCGTCGTATGCATGGGCTATGTGTAACTCGACGTTCATCTATTTAATAAGTGAACTTGACATTACAAAACATGTTCCCGTGACCACAAATTCTCTTCATCTACCTCTGCTGCTTCACACAACCCTTTCATAACTGCTCATATTACTCCTTTTAATGTAAGTATGGCAGGAAATAGGTGCTTGCTTTTTTTCGGATATCTAGTAATAACCATGTTTTATAACGTGGGTTACTGTCAAAGGACCTGAGTTTTCCATGAAGAAACGTGCAAACGGAGAGAGCCGAAATGAGATCGGATTGCGGATTTGAACGGAGACTTCCCCGATCGCAACGCGCAAGCCTACCCCAGAATGCCATCTAGCCTCGGAATACCGTTGGTGGAAACCTTTGTTAAGAAGCGAAGCCAATTTGGACCAATCATGCGCCAGGGTTTGTCCTGTGCGTGAGTCGATTCTCAGGGGCAAAGCTTTTGTGCGGACCAATAGAGGAAGCCCCTCGAAGCTGGTAAATGGCGAATTTTAGCTACCTTAACCCTCATTCTCCAAACGTGCTCCTGGTATTTATGCCAACGATGTCCGGTGGCGTCCCGATCTCAGTGTACAAATTGCCACGTCGAACAGTATGCATCTTCAGTTCTGTAACCAATGAACTCACACATTACTGTGATTTGAGCTCTGAGCTCTACATGGGGCCAGTGGTACTAATGGCCTGACCTGAGTTTATGCAGCGCCCCCTGCCTTTCGAAGGCAGTTAGTTACAGTTATCATAGTAGGTCTCTTACAATTACGCCATCGGTTTCTCCCCACTGGAAGTAGTTCTGGAGCCTGAGGATGATTTTAAATACTTCCACTGCACATATTGATTACTAGATTACAATACTGTATCCCAGGTAAACGCATGGCCATAGGTGACCAGAAATATTCTTCTGGATTGGAGCCCCAGGAACGGTCAATGAAGGCCAGGCCACAGTCATGGGGCTACGATTATGAACATTTTCAGGTAGCCCAAAGAAAGCTCTAATGAGATGGAGGTGAATGATACCACTGCCATGTTGAACAACCAAGTAGATGCCTTGGTGGTTGTAGCACGTATGAATGCAGTTTGTTGAGCTAAATCATTGGGGGTAAAATGATGGTTGATGGTATGAACTCACACGTTACCGGCCGCATGAAATCTGGTTATGAACTGGCAGTCATAAAAATGAACTTCCCCTTCCTGGATATAGAAAGAATTGGAAGAACTTACGGTGGAACTGAAAGTGGAGTGATTTTTGTTGCTCTAATACCCTCGCTCCATTGTATCAGCTATGGTGAAGGTGCATCTGCTGGAGTCCACAAATTGCAAAGGCCCAAAGCACGTTTTTTAATTGGCGTCACTTGTGGCATATAACTGGCCCGGAAAGGCCATGCGCTACAGTAAGGGCTGTGTTGTTATATGCTTGCGGGATACTGTCTATGAGGATAACCGATTTGAGTAGTCCTCCGGTTTTCGACCACAGACTCACGCGTATTGCTACACAGGAACAAAGTTTTGTTATTGTTCTTGTCGTTCAGCGGCTTGGGTTCATCTGAAAGCCTCAATAAAAAAGTCAGAGCACCATTCTTTATGTTCTCACCAGCGAGTAAAATGTTTGTCAGTATGAGCACTCATCAAAGCTTGTTTTAGCTGGGTCCCAGATTTTGCGTGGACAAGTGTGTAAGGAAGTTTATTCCACACATCAGCCACCGGAAATGAGAAAAAACAGATATTGGATAAAGGTGCTCGCTCAAATTTTTATGTCTCGCCGTGTGCCCGACGGTGAAAGAATTAAGGGCCGAACCTTGTCCAAACAAGGCGCAAATATCAGACTTCCTAGGAGGTGACGATAGTCTCGGGGAAGGGTTCAGTGGTTTTAGTGGGCGTCTCATAATCAACAGATTTAACGACGGCAGCCGATCGTTAGACACGCTTGCTGAGAGCCGGGTTCTTCTTGCTTTCGAGTAGACAACTTGGAGTGAAGACGTGCCTGAAGAGAGCCAAACACCTAAATCCTTTTTGGGATCTAGCTTCGTAATATCTTGTGGTTCATTCTCACTATGCACGGCGAAGTCGTCTTCTGAATTTATCCCAAGCGGCATATAGATGATCTTTTCTTCATTTAGAGAAGGACACCGGTCTAGTGACCACTACATTGCAGAATCAACATCAGTTTAAAGTGCTCTGGTGTTGAAACTCCTAGATTTCAGGCCACCCCCAAAAAATAGATATGGACTTGAAAGCACATCCGGAGTATCGTTGACGTATATCAGAAGAGGCTAGTTCCGTGACGGACCCTTGAGGATCTCCGCTGGGGAGTAGTGCAGCGGACGAGTAGGTTTATCGGAGTTTCATTCAGAACTTTATCGAAGGGAAAGCATAAAATTTATCCTTGGATCCTTCAAGAATGGTTTTCTTGGGCAGCTGGACATGTGGAACTCGATCGAATGCTTTTGAGAAGTTTTTCGACCCAAAGCTGCCACCTTGACATGGTGACGGACCTTAGGTGCTGCAATGGTCCTGTAGGCTGGACCTCCGTTCCACAAAGTGAAGTAATGCCAAGAAGGCCAAAACGGAGCAGTTAGATCAAGAGCAGCGCGACTCCATCATCATCATTTTCATCATTGTCAGCTGTAATAACTGCGTACTCGTCGTACAGTGGTTGTAGCTGCCGCAGTTTCGTTCACCGATGGTTTGGAGGGAGGGGTAGGTAGCCGCGCATTGCAGGCGGGAGCTGATAAATTGGTGCATAAATCCAGCATTGTCAGTGGGCTGTCAAGTGTGGGGGGGTTGGAAAAGGAGCTATGTATTGGAGGCAATAGCTTTGATGTGCGGGCGCCACTGAGGGCGCGACTGGGCCATATCTGACAATGTCTCTAGCCATTGATGTGGCCCGTC